CAAGATCATTGTTTCCACCGAAGAAAGTCGAATACGATAAACGTCCTCGAATCGTACATCTTTTCGTTACTGTGGCGTGAACATTTACAGAACACTTCGGAACGTTGGTAATGCAATCGAAGAAACTGTATCTGAACACTATTATGTTGTTGGTGGTTGTCTGCATTTCGATCACCGTCGTTTTTACTAAACTCAAGCTCAATATTTAGTCTTTAAGGAATGGAATATTATGACGGTAGCATACTAGATTAACGAAATTCGGGTGTTCGTGACTGATGGGTCTTGGTGTACCATGGGGAGACTATGCGTTGAAGCCTGTGCAGTTTGTGTAATATGTGACAAAAAACACATGCGCCTGTAATATCTGATTCTCTCTACTCAACAGTGTCTCCAATGTTTTAAGCACGGTTTTCGTATTCGACTTTCTATGGTGGAAACAGTGACTTTGGAAAAGTGGGCATCGATCTGCAGATGACTCACCTTTCCCCAACAAATTTTCAGAACAGATTCCCTTACCTTCTCAAAGGATGAACAACGCAGTTTCGAACGTATTTTTGAACCCATTTTTTAATAGTTTAATCTGTGTAATTTATTCTCATTTTGTTTGATGTACTTAGTGTAGCACTTTGGTGTGCATTTACGATATATTTGTGACCTCACTGAAGATACTTGTGTACGTGTAGATCGTTAATAGATATTCGTTGTTTATGAACTTTCTTATGGACTCTCACTGTGTATTTGTGAACTTTTTGGTAAATATTCAGTGCCTGTGCAAATTTTTTGCATTTTTGCCCATCAGGTCCTTATGGAATAACTGGTTTAATATTCTGCAAGAATTTTTAATGTAACACAGATGTTTGTAGCATTGATCAATATCATTGAATTTCCCAGTTTCTATGAGGTATGTTTATGGCTCCCTATGTCCTTTTGTAGCACTGTGGGCCTCTCTGTTCAGCTGTCCTATGCTTACTGGTTCTTTGCAAATTTCTTAGTTCCAGGCAATTCCCAATTTACTTTTTAAATACATATAACTACATTATAAGGTAAATTGTGCACCTAATAAAAGTTTAACAGCAATTTTTTACTCTTGATTTTCATCCTTCTTTGCCATAAAGATTCCTTGAATTTTCTGTCAGCTGTTATCAAATATCTCATATAGCTACAATTTTATAATCCTTTAGTTTTGTTCAATACCAATATTGAACCTTTTGTACTTACAGATTTTCCCTTCCTGCTTTGAACATGGATCATTATCTGTGAAGATGAAAATAAAACATAATGCTTATGTGTGTTCGATTATTGTTCAAGTCTTACAATTGCACTTTCATTTTTAAAATTTCCTGATCATATTTGGAATAAATGATTATGTTTTTCAACTTTTAAAAGATGTACTCTTGAATCTCCTGGAAGAATTTTGCTGTTTCAAGCATTACAAGGGAGTGACAATTTTTTATGATCCTTCTTTTAATGACATTAGACTAGCAAATGTCAAAAGTCTATAAAAGATTGATTAGAACAAGCGGAAAACATAAAGATTAAAACTATTTCTGTAAAAGTTAATAAATTATTCGTTAACTATGCACTATTTTAGTCTGATTTACAACCTTATCATGTGAAATACATTTCACCACTAAAAATAACTTTCTATATTCTTTATAAAAATTAACATTTCTCTTTACCTTGTTTATTTCTTAATTACAAATTTTCCCTGATGTGTTCTTATAAAAATGATCTTACCTAAATAAAACTAATGACTTCGCTTAATGATGTTCTCATACCACAAAGCCAATAGGAACTTGTCTTTATATTCTAATTATGTTGAACTAGGAATATAGAAATAAAAAGTAAGTAAAACAAATGTAACAAATTTCTAAACCTTTGAAAATTTTTTACTTTTTTTGAAATTTAGAATTTTTTAACATTCGTTTTTATTACGAATTACGATCTTCTTGATTATATATATATACACAAATACACCCCACATACATTAGTATATATATTTACATGTATAAATTACAATATAACGAGGTGAATAACAGAATCGTGTATAACTTTATATGAATATTAATCAGTATAAAAATTTCTACTATTTAGATGTGAATTAAAAGTTATTAAGGAAAATAAAAATACCGGTAAATCAGACCAGGCAATGCACCACAGTATAAATGTCACATATCACATGATACCTTCACATTTGTGTTTCAATCAAAATTAAGAACAAATATTTATGAAACATGATTATGACAATATATTCTGCATGTTTAGATTAATTTTATCGCAGAGTGTTATGGAAAGCATAAAATGAAGTTTAGGTTATATCAATCTCACCATGTACCTATTTCGTAAAGATACCTGTATTCCAACTTTATATACCAAAAGAGGTTTTTTCCATACACTTCTAACTACTTCCATATTTGTGAAAAGTAAATTTGCAATTACGTTGAGAAACTTTCTTGAGCTGTGAAATTTTTGCTGTAGTATATGTTACGAACAATCGCCAACTTGCTTCGAGACGATCATGCTACAGGCTACTACCGAAAACCTGCGCATAGTGATGGAATTTGGAACGCTTCGAATCGCTTCGAATCTGTGTACAAGGATGAAACCTTCAAATCGTTTCGAATCTGATTCGAAGCTTAAAGCTCTTGAAAGTCTTGAGTGAATTTGAAGTCTTGAACGGTCTTAGAAGTCTTAAGCGTCTTGGACGTTGTAGAAGTGTTGAGACTTTTTATAGGTTCTGCAAGCTTAATGAATATTTAATGTCTTACAGGCTTTGTGATTACTTTTTATAAGATATTAAAGAATAACCGAAAATTTCGAGTTATCATAAATACATTTATTGTTTTTATTATTTATTTAATTTTTTTTGTGGAGGGACGTGGAGGAATGTGAGAAAGAAAATGTAAAAAAATTGAAACCGTTTCCTAATGATTGAGACACAATTTGTGAAAAAATAAATTTATTGTTTGTACATATTATTTACTGAATAACAAAATTGTATTTAAACTTAATATATAGCAAGGGATATAATTGAAGGGAAAATACCTACCAGCGGTGATTTTATGAAAACAGTACAGTAAACATTCGTTTCCCGCACTAGTCGGAGCTGTGACTGTAGAGGACCAAAATTCCAGGAACCGCGCAGGAATCGGACACCAGTTACCCGAGCGCTTTCCCCATCACTCGGCCATTCAGTCGTGCAACGTAGCTAGATATAGAGTGGGCTGGATATGCGTACTTTACGGTTACATTAATTATCTCCGTTATTTTTAGAGATATCAGAAAAGTTTATTCACAGAAGTTGTTCAGTATGAAGAGGGCTATTACTTAGCAGTAACAAGTTTTTCATAAGTGGAGTATCTTCTAAGTTTTCAAAGTTAATTATGTTATTTTTATTAATGATATTGAAATATTATGGATTAAAATACTTTTATTACATAAATCGATTCTTTCAAACATTCTGCGTAATGAAGTATTAAGGTATTATGTGAAAAAGGTAATAATTTGTGACATATATTTTAGTGGCAAATGTCTAGCTTGGTTAGCATCTTTTACCTATTACGTGTGATCCGCGAGACAAGAAGCAATCAAATTGCCATCAATATTCATTCCACCAATATTCATTGCACCAATAAAAATATTATTAAAACAGTATTATATACACTGCGCTTTCCGCGATGAGATATGCGAGTTAAACGCGACACCGTATATATTCCGGCCTGGGCGTGCTGGGCGACAGAGTAGGGTACGCGCACGTGTGTGAGAAATACGTGTGAGCAAGGGGCGTAGCTTCCGTGCAGATAACAGTGGCGCGGGAAACGAATGTCTACTGTATATGTAATCTTTATTAACTAAATAAAACGATTTTGACTAATTTATTGTGTATTTACATAGTATTGAGTTTATTATATTACTCTATTAATACGTTATTATTTATTTATTATTACATATGTCATTAGTATACAATTCGTTTATTGCTTCATTTTTAGTTGAAAATAGTAGTTTAATTTAAAAAAAGAAAAAAAATTCAAAAGCAGGAAATACAGTTTCGCGTATGTAGTAGAAGAAATAGATTAAAACATACAACATTGGCTAAATCTTGTGTTACTAAACACGTAATAAAGCCATTATTATTTCGTTATGTTTAAATATAATTACTACTTTATACGGTATATATTATATTACATTATACACAATACTATTGTAGCATCATAAATTTGGTCGTGACTCGGGCTAAGAGGCCACCCTCGGAGAAAGAGCTGGCTTATTGTTAAAGGAAAGATCAGTACATCTCGATATCACAAAGAGTACGCATCACCAACTGTCATTGTAGCCTTTCATTATCGTTGTTTCTGTTGAAAATTACTTATCTGTTGTCTGTTGTTACTTGTTGTTATTGCTTGTTACTGTTATCTTGTTTTCGTCGTGTGTTGTCCATTATTGTTATACCATTATGGTATCCGTGACCTTGTCGTGCCGTCCGTGACACGTAAATAACCACACGCACACACACAACACTCACGTTAAGAATGAACTCCCATCAGAGGGAGAGAAGGAGGAATCACAGGAGGGTTTTAACCCTTTGCGGACTACCGCTGTATATACATATGCGTTCCGCGTAAACCAGTGATAGGCAACCGGGCCCGCTCGAGCATGCTGCCCGTACGGGCTAGTGGCGGGCAGTCGCAGGCTCCTGTGGAGGCGATGCGATTTTTTTATGCTCGAAATTTAAAAATTGACTAATTTCTTCACTTTCATAGCGTAATAAAAGTTCTGAGAAAATGTATTATTATAACATTTTAATCGTCGTTGTAAGAGTGTATTGACAAGTCATTTTAATTTGCTTGGTAGTTCTAGTGTTAATAATATTACTTTTTAAAGTAGGTACTGTTTTTATGGTTTGCTGAATTTTTCTTCCTTACATTCATCTTCTAACAATTTATCATAAGAGAAGTTAGTCAAATTTGTTCTTTCGTTTACATATGTTTACAAAAATATGACTTTTTGCATATTTAGTCGCCTACGTTAACTTTTTCCTGTAATATTTGATAGTAACTGGCCTAAAAGAAAGAGATATTTAATCATTTGACTTTCGAATAATTTTTGGGAAAAGTGATATCTCACCTTAAGAGTAGTAAACATAATACCAAGTTCTCCATTTTGTAAAGAACGTGCCATAAAATCTTCTATAAAATGTATTTCACTACCCAGTTGTAATACACTAGCACGTACAACGACGAAGCAAAAAACAGGAAATAGCTCGTCCATTGTCCATAAATACGTGGTACCCAATTGTTTTTGTACTGTCTAATATAAGCAAAGTATAGGAATTTACAGAAATAATAAGACATATAATTATTATAAACTGACTTACTTGTGTCATTTGTTCAAATGTATTTCTGACGACTAACAATTTTTCTAATGGCGAAAACGTGGTTTTGAGTTGTTGCAAAGCTTCTACTGCCTCATTGAAATATGATTCATTTTGGTGCTGCAACTCATTTTCATTCAGATTTATCATATTTGCATTTCCCCAAAATTTCCTACAATTTCATTCATAAGTTTGTATAAGATTTTTTCTTGTTTCCAAACAGTGTTCTTATCAATACTTACTCATCGATATCCAAAAAAGCCATTAATGTCATGTCAGACTGCTTATTCCATTTCATTAATCTTTCCCAATAGGCATCGTCTTCTTTCTTATTATGTAAAGCATATAATACAAATAGTACATAATGCACGCGAGGTAATAGTATTGGATGTAGTATTGCAGTAGCACTTATAATTTCTCTAATAAAGCAGTTTAGAAAATTAGTTTAAAAACTGTATATTCAGTTAACTAAGAACGGTAAGCAAGTAAAGATATGAAACAATTGATTCTAAAAAATGTGGGTGGGTAAATGTGCATGCGTACGTGTGTATTTAAATAAACCAAAACATATATTTTCTCTGTATCTCTGTCGCGTTTTTGTGTATGAAAATTCTGGAACATATTGACTTAAAACAGCTGGAACGCTAATCGATAATATTGATTTTTGAAACATCTAGAATTTTCGCAACGCACGTGGCGTAATTAAGAGAGAATGTGTGTGCGGGTGTGAGGCTCTGGAAAATTCTGGAAGGTTCCAGAGTCTGACAACTGATAAGCGAAAGCGAGGAATTAAAGGCACGCTCACAAATAAAAGTACGTTATCCTATTTAAAAAATGACGATGATCTTGAAATTTCAGAAAATATAATCTTCAGAAAAAAATCTTCTCTATCACAATAACTGTACTACAGGAACAAAAAAATTTTTCTTTACATATTTTCTCGTACCACTGAAAACAACGGAGATATTTTAGGTGACAGTATTAGGTGACAAACCCTGTATCCACTATGTAATGTCCCCTTTGTACCAGACACTTTTTTTCGGAACAATATTTTCATATCTTCATTCGTTTAGGAAACATTTAACCGTTCTTAGTTATCCCTTTCGTTACTAACAAAGGAAGGACTCCAAATGTACGATTTCGATTTTAAGATACACATATACATGTACATTTGATTTTACATTTTCTTTCTCCTTCTTTTAAGATGCTCTCTGTTCAAAGGATAGATTTCATTCATTCTCGGGGAGAAGACATCTGAATATCAGAGAATGTACTGATAAATGTTAAATAATTATAGTAGGACGTACAGATAACATTAATAATTATGCGCAGTAAATTATTAATAATGGTTTCAAACGTAGCGTTGAAAATATTATTTAAATAGGCCACACCTTCTACATTAAAACAAAGAAAAATGAATATATATAGGAATTTATTGTTTCCCTATGGGTTACAATTCTTCTACAATATCGGCTCTTACACTATCATAGTCTTCACCTACGCACCTTTATATCTTACAAACTATCACTCGCTTAGCCTACCCTCGCTCGTACACCCTTCCCTATCCTGGACCACTGCTTCTGCTCGCCTCTACTCTCGTTTTCATCTCTTCTTTCATCCAATCCACATTCTCTCCACTTCTTCCACTCTCCTCATCCATCCCCCCCCCTCATCTCCTAACACCGCCATCACCATCTCCTGCCAACCCTTCACTCCTCCCCATCCAATGCACTCTTTTCATACGTGTTCCCACGACTCCTCTCTCCATCCACATGTTCCTGCACCTCCTATTTTCCTCTTCCACCCAATACCTCCCTCACCTCATCCCACTACCTAATATAAACCTCGCCACCCTTTGCCATCTACTTTCTTCCTAATGATGTTGAAGTTTCATCCACTTCAAAACTGATTTTATTTATGATATATTTACGTCACAGTCAGATAGAACTTAGATATGGTGTTATTGGCGAACCAGCAGGCATTTCTCCTTTTCAACTTTATCATTCATTCGAAGGCTCCGAATAAAACTACGAATAACTTTCGATAGCGCTTTTATTCGAGACGCAACAAATTCCTAAAAACAATAATTTGGTTACGAAGGGGGTAAAAGGGTGCCGTGAGATACGACGCATTTCTTGACAAGGCTAGGACCGGTCTCTTCAGAGGGTCGTCCGCATAGATTGTTTCACTTTAAATGCCCAGTGTCGATCCCAGACCGGTGACGCTCGCCGTTCAGCGTCTTGAATAAACGCGCTGTCGGAAGTTAGTCGAAGTTTTATGCGATGCCTTCAAATAAAAGGTAAAGTTGAAAATGCAAAATGCCCGCAGCTTCATCAATAGCACGATATTTGAGTTCTATCTGACTGCTAGATGTAAATATTGGGCTGTCCCATAAGTCCTTTGGTATCCTACTCACGATGAGTAGAATATAATTCAAATTTAAGGTCAGTTAATTATGCGGCAACGTTCTTACTTCAATCTCCACCATTCCACGCCAAATCGATCACTTTTTGTACTCGATGTCAAGGATTTTGTTAAATATGACATACAATGTAGTCCACCGGAAAGGGGAGGGGGGGCATGGGGGGAGGTTAATTCATCATTTTGTTGGTATATATATTTTGTTTAAGTTTTATTTAAAGTTTTCAATTTTTGCCTATTTTCGTGAAACTGGGGTGTACTTATGAATTTTTATCCGGGAACTATTTATCGTATTAAATTGATTTTTCCTTTGTTTTAATGAAGAAGGTGTGACCTACTTAAATAATATTTTTATAACACTACGTTTGAAGCCATTGTACATAATGTACCATACATAATCATTAATGTTCTCTCAGTGTACTATTATAATTATTTGACACCTATCAGTATATACGACGGGCACGATATTGTGTCCTCGTAAAATTAAGCGTTTAGTAGGGTCACCTATTCATGTAACCGCACTAATTGTCGTACGCACTCCGGGAGCACGTGGGTATAAGGGTGAACCACGAATCGTGATCAGTACAGAATACTCTGTTATTAACAATCCAATCGAAAATGTTTTTATCAGGTATAGCATGGTTTCAAGAGTGCTTTAACGTGATCATAGCAAATTTTTTGTCAACTCTTTTTTTTCATGATTTTTCAAGGTCATCTTCAATTTTTTGCAAATACACCTATAATTTTTTTACACCTGTCTGTTAGAGGATTTCAAGACGACTCCGGTAAGTATCATAACATAACATGTGTTACTTTTTCTTTCATCTGGGTCGAGAAAAGATTAAAGAAATATTCGAACTGTAATATTACAAAGAGTATCGTATGCTACGCCATTGTACGCGTTCCAATGTTGAGCTCTTGCTTACTGTTTGTAAACATTTTCTTCTGTACATCGGAACACATCTAATGATATCTATTGATCACGATTCGTGGTTAACCCTGTATACCAGTGTCACCGTAATGGGCCCTAACATACTGAGAAACAGCGTGAATTTCAGGCTGCAAATGTCATTTCTGAATTGACATTATAACTTCTGCTTACAATATTTCATCAAAAGTACACGGTATTTAGCCTCTGCTGTCGCCTACTCAATAGTAATTACTGTATTGGTAAAAATTAAAGTGCACGTAACCCATTCCGAATTGACATTGCACGGTCCTGAAGATGCTCGAGTGTTTGAAATTACAGTTTCGGCTACTGAAATGGGGCTACCTTTACAACTTAATGGCTTTACGAGGACACAATATCGTGCCCGTTGATTTTACATTCTGTGATATTCAGACGACTTCTCTCCGAGAGTGAATGAAAGCGATCTGTTGAACAGAGAGTATGTTGGAATAGGGAAAAAGAAAATGTGAAATAAGTTAAACACAGAGAACGTCTACTCGTGTAGTGAGGCAGCCACAGTTGCTCTGACGGTTACCGTTGTGGCAACGTAAGCGTCCCGGGCCCTTAGGGCACCATTTAGATAGACCTACTACGACCCTAACTTCGTCATAATAAAAAGGTTAACTCAGACACACTGTATGTGGGTCATTCCACGCTAAGTGGATGACTTTTGTACATGATGTCCGGATTTTGCGCAAATTGAAGTATGTTATAATCCATGTGAATATAAGGGGTGTTTGTCATCATTTACCTAATTTTGAAATTGTTAAAAAGGTCCGGATCCTCAAAGTTGGCAAAGTTTCACCAATTTTTACGAAAACCACCTTCACGAAAGAATTTTTATCTGTTATCAAAGCATGTATACAAACTAAGTTTAAACTAAAGTTTTATCAAAGCATGTAATCCAGAAAAATTCCGATTTTTATCGACTTTTTTCACTTAAATAGCATTTTTCATAGAATCCTGACGTTCTAGACAAATACTGCGATCACATTTGAATTCAGCGTGTCAACTTTTATAAAAAATGATGTATAAGAAGTCAAGAAAAAAATTCAAACTCTAATTATAACGGAAAAATCGCAATTTTCTTCAAGAATGTTAACTTTCACATAGATTTTCAAGAACAAAAACTTGTTTGCTTAAACCTCCAAAAAGATTTATTCTCTATCTTATTTTTATCAAAAGTTCTAAAATTTTTATACAAAAATTGGCATTTTGTTCCACTGTGCATCGCGACAAGTTTATCTGAATCGCCGAACGCCGTAACCTTTGTCGACCTGCTGTGACCACAATTTTAGAGCCTTTATAAAAAAGAAATTTTAAAGAAAAAAAATTACAGAATATAAACATATATTTTTCAAATTTTTTGAGACTCGAACTCGGGTTCAAATTTAAAAACAAAAATATTTTCAATATTTTTGCATTGCAAAAATAACGAATTATACAACAAAAATTAATTAAACAGTATGATAATTTTTTATTAAAATGAAACAAAAACCAAGTTCGTATCAATTGCAGAGATAAGAATTCTTTGCTGAAGAAAGTTTTCGTAAAAATCGATGAAAATTGCAAAATTTGAGGATCCGTATCTTTTAAATAATTTCGAAATCGGCGAAATGATGACTTAAACCCTCTCTATTTTCACACTTAACAGAATCCCATACGCGCGTAATCCGCTTGGCGTGGAAAGACCCACACATATTTATGGAAATTTAGATTTCTTTGGAAAATTTTCAAAAAAAAGATGATATAAATTTAACAGAAACTCTTGTGCTGTAAATATTTAAACCTTGTAGTCTGGTAATTACATAAAACCAACATACCCTTCTTCTCCGTTTTCTGTCTCCAATACATACTCTTTTTTCCCATGTGGTAATGCAGGAAACAATAAAGTAACTACTTCATATATTCTTAATGTAATACTATGAAGTTCAGATACAGCATGACTGAGTAACAAAGGATGAACTCTCACGCCACCATATGTAGCTGTGTACGCAGCAGAAACTTCTGTTAAAAGAGCACCTAATGGATGATGTGCACACTCAAAAGCCTTAAACAAATATCTATGGACTTCGTTATAACACTGAGCAGTTAGTTTTTCTCTTCCAAAACAAGGAATCTTATCTAATTCGTCAATAACTTCGTCCCTGGTTTCGTTCGTAATAGGCATATGTGTCAGAACATTTTTTCGTTGTACTGTCTTGTGACGAGATTTTGTTATTATGCTGGCAACATTTCGCCATACTCGTTGCGTTTCTAGACACTTGTCCGCCATTTTCGAATCTGGTTCAAGAATACCAAGTTGTTGATAACAATGCCTAAATATAGATTTCCATTTTTGATCCGGTGATACACATAACTTCCCAAATGACCTATGACAAAAAGGTAAAGATGACTTTCATACAAGGTGAGTCTCGTAACATGACGACTTCAAATAACTTGTACATTATTTCTTATATGAAAAAATGTTTCAAACAAAAGTTGCATGTTTTCCAAGGTGGCATACCGTACTGTAATCGATTTATTGTTATTTTTCTTTTTATCAAGATATGAAGATCACCTTGAGTTTTTTTAACTCAAATGCTTAATACCGTCAAATTCTGCGTAACAAAATAATATACTAAATATGGTGTAAAATTAATAATTACTCTCAAGTAAATTATCATCTATTAGAAAACACGTTCAGTCAATGTGACTGTTAACACAACGTTCTTTACGGTGGCAGATCATGTTTGTAAACACAATCCGCGTTAGATGGGATACATCATCAACATGAAATACCTATTAAGCTCAGTAAAAATTATATTGAGAAAGGTATACTTTTATTACGATGTTCAGTAACAGTGATAAATACAATATGATAATTATTTATGGTGCGTACGATAAAAATGTTATGAGCGCTAAAATATTATACGAAGCTAAGTATTCTGACCGAAATCAGTTACCGCATTCAAATTCTTAAGGCGTAACAAGTGGCAGTTTCAAGGGTACCCTTCGATCAACATTTTTGGAAAAATCGATTTTTTTATTATGTATTTTCATCGTATGACATCTCAAGAATGCTATTTCAAAGGTTCAGTCCAAAATTCACAGAAGTATAGATTCTGCAAGCATGTAAATGACCCTAACACGCTGACCGTATGTAGCATTCGAAATATTAAATCTAGAAGTACAAGAAATCGTAAACACAGTACATATATGAAAACTTGAGAGATTGAGAGCGCATCGTGGAAGTCAACCATCGTAATACAAGCGCGTCAAAAAAAGCTAGAGTTGCTTGAAAAAACAAAAACCAAGTTGGCAGTGGAATATGAAGTCACGGGTGGGTGGCACTATACAGGGTGTCTCAAAAGTGCCTCTCTTCCAGAAAATGAGGGGTTGCTGGGGTGATTTGAAACCACTTTGTCCTTAGCGAAAATATTAGGTGCGGCTTCGTTAACGAGATATTAACGAAAAACCCGGACCAATCAGAGCGCGAGTTTGCCGGCCGAGTTCCCGCGCTAGCGGTGGCTACGCGGCTACGCTTGTACTATGACGCTCCGAACAAGCAAGTTGGCATGAATCCCAGGAAACGACGTATAATAACAAATAAGAAAAACATAACAAATCGAACTTTTTATCATCTTTCGTTTGTCATTTAAAGTGATGAATGAATGAAACATAAATGTAAGAAAATCATGTGTAACGTAAAAAGACGAATACACAATTGTTTTAAATTATAAATTTCCTTCTCAAATAACGTATTAACGAAAAGGTAATGTAACAGTGATCGTAGTTCGTTATTGACAAAAATCCGTAGTTCAGTAACGGGTTACAGTGATATTGATTACAAATAATTGTCTTTAAGAAACCCGAGGAAAAATGTACGTACGGAAACTTGCAGAATTATTGCCGTGAAAAAGTCATAGGTTGCGTTAAATTAAATAATAATAATCAAGAATGAATTGAATAGAACTCACCCTTTCGGAAATCCACCTGCAGCTTGCAGACCTGTGTCAGTAGGTCACTGTACCGATCCTGCTCATCGACGGACAAAATGGTTTATGGTGGGTGACAGCTAGTGCACAGCTGGTCGCATTTATACGGCACCACCGAAAACCGTATTGACAAGTGCGGTCGAGTCAACGCACTAAATGGTCACGTCACACGGCCACTAACACTGACTACCTAACACTCTTTGAAATTTTGAAAGAATGTCAACCCTTTGACCAGGAAGTTCAGTTGCTGCGTGAAAACATGTGTCAGTAGGTCACTGTGTCGATCCTGGCTGCTGATGACCCAAGTGATTTCTGGCGGGGTAGCGCCTAGTCCACACCTGATCGCAGGTATACGGCACCATCGAAAGACGTAGTGACAACTGCGGTTTGGTCAACGCACTGACGGTGTTTATTTCACTGTACGGTCACTAACACTGTACACTTGTAAGAATCATATTATTTACTTTAAGTAGTTTTGTTATTTATCGTGTTGCTCCTACGTTAATTTATTGTTATAAAGGAATATGTTGTTCCTACGTTAAGAAAAATACCAAAATATTCGTGCGACGAATACATGTTTCACTGTCACTGAATGTTACGAGATACTGTCTGAGATCTTTCCTAAGGAGCTTCTTCTACCCCCAAAATTCCGTAGTAAAACTTTAGGTGGGAATATCTTAAGACCAATGACAATTTAGGACGGTTTCCCGATTGTGGACTGCCTATGTCACGCAACTCGCAAGATGCGAGCGGGCAAAAAACCAATGCGTGACAATAACTGCTTTTCTCAAAACCACCCTTGAAATCCCATAAATTTACCAGCGAGAGTGCCAGCCAAATCCTCCAGGAACAATGTCCTTACTCGTAAGGCAACGCAACATCGGACTGCTGGCCATATCTAACTTTTACGCATCTGTTTCACAAAAACGTTTCTGTAGGTTGTAAGCCATCAATAGCCAAAAGACCCACCGTGGTCTTTCGCGACCGTGCAACGCCAGGTCTGTTTCATCTCACGGACCCTCCTTCAAGATCGCACGTAGGCTAAAAACCCTTGTAAATTTTCCAACGGTCCCTGAGCTACAAGGTATCGGCTTGCGACTCCACTTAAAAGACATTGACGCTAACTAACGCATATGTGTTCTGCAGAAGTGCCATCGTACAATTTCACAAGAATTTGTTCAAGAAATACAGCCTTTTGAATTTCATTATTTTTCGTGAAAATGGCTTGTGCTTATGAATTTATATCTCGAAAACTATTTATCGTATTCAGTTGATTCTTATATCGTTTCAATCGAGAAGGATTAACTTTTGTGAATAAATTTCTTTCAAGTTCAAAAATCATTTTTAAATTCAATAAGGTTAAAAACAATATCAAAGTGTCAATGATAATTTATAATTTACACAAATATAAAAAAATAATAATATAATTATAATGTATAGTGTAATTAATAATTTTGTACGTACGGAAATCCAGATTATTTCAATGAGATGAAAAGCATTTGTCTTTCATCTAACCGTCCTAAATTATCATTGGTCCTAACATATTCCCACCTAAAGTTTTACTACGGAATTTTGGGGGTAGAAGAAGCTCCTTCAGAAAAATCTCAGACAGTATCTCGTGACATTCAGTGAAAGTAAACATGTATTCGGCGCACGAATATTTTGGTATTTTTCTTAATGTAGGAACAACACATTCCTTTATAACAATATATTAACGTAGGAACAACACATTCCTCTATAACAATAAATTAACGTAGGAGCAACACGATAAATAACAAAACTATTTAAAGTAAATAATATGATTCTGACAAGTGTAGTGTTAATGACCGTACAGTGAAATAAACACCATCAGTGCGTTGATCCGACCGCACTTGTCAATACGTTTTCCGGTGGTGTCGTATACCTGCGACCAGCTATGATCGGTACAGTGACCTACTGACACAGGTCTACAAGCTGCAAGTGGGTTTCCGAAAGGGTGAGTTCTATTCAATTTATTCTTGATTATTATTTTTTTAATTTAGAGGAAAATCCGACAATCCGAATTTTCCCTATTATTACCCTACTGATCGAGATAGAGGGTTGAAACTTGGCACAGACTGTTTTTTTCTTAACAAGCTATCGAATGGTATATTACATGTCCAAATCGGTCTAAGAGTACTTTTAACCACCTTATCCTGCTACACTTTCACATAGTGTAGACATTAATCAGAGTAGTGTGGCACGTACTTTTCATTCTCCGATATTTCAATCGTATCATCTATCAGTACATCAGGAGCTATATGGACGACACTTTCAGAAATGCGTACAATTTTGTGAATGGTTTCTGCATCGGATACAAGATACAAATGGTACATTTGTACACACTGTTCTATGGACTGACAAAGCTACCCTGATAACCTGTTGCGTGCAGATCGGCAGCACATTGACAGGAAATAGTGACATATCTGTCTACAAATCCATAGCTACCTGTTGCCGCATTTGGCTTGGGTTTTGCAGGCAGAGCCTCTGGGCAGAATCATGAAGGAGATTGGCAAAGGCAAAGTAACAACAAATCTATTACACGAGTGGAAGCCATGAATTTTTTGTTTGAAACATATTTTCGAATAGCATATAATATACGAGTTATTTGAAGTCGTTATGTTACGAGACTCACCCTGTATAAATGTACAAGGTGTCAAGTAATTACATGTCGCGGCTACCATAGCCGGATTCCACACCTTCGGTTTGGTAAAGATTTAGGTAAGAACGTTCCCGCAAAATTGACCTTGATTTTGAATTCGAAGATCAAATTTTTTTTATCATTGCATTATATTCTGCTCATCGTTGGGATAAACAGCCTGAAAGGAACCATAGGTGGAATTCAACCGTACTCTTACAAAATTATGTTAAAGTTCCATTCACTTCAAAACTGATTGTATTTATAATATATTTACATCTCGCAGTCAAATAGAACTCATATATCGTGAAGCAGCAGGCATTTTTAAATTTCAACTTTATCTTTTGTTGGAAGGCTTTGAATAAAACTTCGAATAACTTTCGAATGACCTGGGGTCAACACTAGGCATTTAAAGAAGTGAAACAATGTTATGCAATGCCTCGTCTTGAAAAAAAGCGCAGTACTTTGCGACTTAAATGCGAGACCGGTAGGTATACAACAAATTCAGAAAAACAATAATTTGGTCACGAAAGGATTAACGGTGAGCCGCACGATATGGGGACGGGGTTCGTCACAGCGTCGTCCGCATACATTGTTTCTCTTTAAATGCCCACTGTCAACCCCAGGTTGTTGACGCTCGGGGTTCGACGGTTCGAATATGTAGGCTGCCGAAATTCATTCGAACTTTTATTCAAAGCCTTCGAATGAAAGATAAAGTTAAAGATGAAATATCCCTACTGCCTCGCCAACATCATGATATCTGAGTCGTAACGAGCTGCGAGATTCAACATATTATAAATAAAATCAGTTTAAAATGAATTATTCCTTTAGACCTTTTATGCTTGCGATGAGTAGAATATAATGCAATGATAAACAAATTTGACCTTCAAATTCAAGGCCAAGGTCAATTTTGCAGCAACGTTCTTAGTTCAATCTCCACCGAACCAAAGGTGTAAAATCTAGCTATGGTAGCCGCGACATGTAATTTTTGGACACCCTGTACATTTACTGTTGTATAAATTTCGTACATCGGTTTTGAATTAGTTTGTACATTCCCACTAGCTTTATTCATATGTAATGTTGCAATAACTTTTACACCCTCATTCCATACTCCATTCATATTGCCTTCTAATCGATCGCCACTTCGGAATGTTAATGTACCTTTTCCATAGAAAATACCAGCAGATTTAAATTCACCTTCATAATGAGTACCATCTTCAAATACCATGACTCCATGACCCTTCAATTAAATAAATATATTTCCTTTGACTTTCTTCGAAATTTATACTTTTATAGATTCGAAAATGTTTAGTCTTTAAAAGAATATTTAATTTACCGTTAAAACATCCTGCATGAAGACTCCTTCATAGTAAATACCATCTAAAGTTACAATTAAACCACACCCATGTTTCATACCGTTACTCCAAGATCCTAAATATTTTTCACCTACAATAACGTATTACTTAATAATTTAATATCTACTGGAACACTTATATATGTACATATACACAAAGGTTTATTGCAGGTTTGTCCTTATATTTGGTTTACGATACCCCGCTACAACGAAAATGTCAATTTTGTAAAATCGAAAATTGAAACATAAAATTTTGTTGTCTATTAGTTGAAAGTTTCATGGTAAGCCTCTGGAAAAATCGTCACGTATACAAAACTATTGCGACATAACACTAACACATTCAAAGATTTATTATCTTCCTTATAACTGTATTTTTTGGATTTGGATTTACATATGTACATAAGCATGGACCTATATATCTGAACCGGTAGTCCAATATTTTACTTGCTTTTTAAATATGATGATCAAATAATATAGCTGCTGCTAACCAAGTGAAAACAGTATTTCATCTTCGTTTATTATTTTTATCAACAGCATATGCCGACGATTTAATGAAACTAATTAACACTGTATTTTATTGATTACTGACGTAAACCTTTGTGTCTATGTATACAAAAATTTTCTTTAGAATTTAGTGAATCTTTACTTGTCTAACAGAAATAAAACTTTCTCTACACTTTATGTGTACTACTGTACCTGTCATAATATCATCCATAATTCCATAGCCTTGCTTGACACCTGCTGCCCATTCTCCAATATAAATGGATGCTACAGATGCCATGAAGTGACCTTCTTTTTTAACACCATGACCATGTGGTAATCCATCATTGAAATATCCTTCATAAAAATCTCCGTTATTATACCTAAAATATTTTATATTTTATTTTGCATATTATGCTGCATGTAACTTCAAATTCGGGATGTTTATAATATTTATTTAGAAAACTAACTTCATTGTTCCATATCCATTCTGTTGACCATCTTTCCATTGTCCTTCATATATACTTTGTGATGGAATTTCCATTTTACCAGTACCATGAATAACACCTTTGTGGAATTGTCCTGTGTATATACGGCCATCAAACCATTCTACTTTACCAACACCATGTGGCTTACCATTTAGCCAATGCCCTATATATATTATACACAAATTTTATTCTATATTTCCGACTAATTTTGCACATAGAATCACCCCTACCCAGTGGTATCTCCAGTTACATGACACCCTACATATATACGTCTATCTATCTATCTATCCGTCCGTCCGTCCGCCGTCCATCCATCCATCCATCCATCTATCTATCATTATTATCATAAATTTCACCATAAAAATATTACAAAAACTAATAGGAAGTAAAGTATGCAACTATGTTTACTTATAAATAATTCAGATTAAAGTGACTTTTTAATAGTTAAAACAGTAAGAAATATGAATATCAGTTTTGATAAATTTATTATTTCGATTATAATTATTTTGATACGCAAAAGGCCATATAAAATTTGAAATATACAAAATTATAAATAATAACTTACGAACCAGTATACTTTGCATCTTTGAAAACACTACGCTTTGTGAAAGTGAAGGAGCTAGAACGCACTACCGGGGGACCATGTCCAACAACCCTTCGTAGACTACATTTTATAACATTCTGGAAAGCGTGTAACCATTCATTACGCTCACAAGGTGTTGGAGTATATAATACAAATGTGTCTTCTGGTGCTACTACTGATATAGCATTCTGAAACATAAACACACAATAAATTATGGTGTAAGCTACTTACAAATGTTGGATTGATTGATTTTCATAGAATTTGGTTTAACATACTTGTACAGTTTCGGAATCTGGTAAAAGTTCTACCCATAAGGTTTGGAGTGGATGAACTGTGTGAGATGTTCCAATAACATGAATAAATATATCAGTCAACAAGACAAACCAATGGGTAGAGAATATTCCAGAGTTCAGTATTGCTATTGGATGCGTTCGTGATTCTCTTACAAGTCTTCTGTTAGGAAACCTCAATAATTCCCCTAATTTTCCAGAATTTTCCCAAAATAACTTTGTTGCTTCAGCTTCTTTATGTAGTTTATCTTGTTCCTCGCATATTTGTTCCCATTTTATTAGAGCTTCTTGCAATCGTTCTATACCCATTTTTGTACCATTGCACTTTATCAAATTCAAAATCATATTTTTATATCTACATAAACATAATATTTATTAATAAATAAAAGTGTTTTGGCTAGATATAAATATAACTTGTATGCCTAAATATTTACCTATTTAACTTATGTAATGGATATTGTAATGCCATAGAGATAATAATTTCATTAGTAATTGTTTTATTTTCAGAACCTTTTAATTTGTTTGCAAACAAAATTGTTATTATTCGTGGTATTTCAATTATTTTTTCAATATATGTAAAACCGCCTAAAGAAATAACATCACATATCGTATTTAAGTAATACCTATATACAGTAATGTATTCTTCAACGTTAACAATAGCTGTAACTTCATATGCTTCGCTAATATGATTAAAATAATTCCACAAGCTGGTAACATTTAATGCATTGAAACTTAACAATTCTCTATAGTATCTACATAATGTTTCATACACATTCAATTCTTGCATAGCACTTTCTTTTTCTTCGAGTGGCTTAATTAAATTTTTATAAATAATCAACATTTCTTCCAAAACGATTTGGTCTGTTATCAAATCTTCAGAAATATTTATTGGAGGTTTATTAATCACAGAGTAACAGCTGTATTCTTCAGAACAAAAAATTTGAGCTATACTGCATTCATTATTTGTTTCAGTGTTAAGATGAAACATTTCTCCAGCTTTACTGAAATCATAATGAACAAATTTTATAAACAAAAAGAATGACCTTAACATTTTGCTTACATAACTTGTGAATGAATTATTTACCTTGATTGTCCAATGAAGTATAAACCATGATGCATCAAGATTAAACTATGGAAACTACCAGCTGCTATATCTTTAGCCTTCTCATTTAATGATAATTTTGTGGTAAATAATTGAGGAGAACTTTGATAAGCATTTGGTTCTAACATCACTTGTTTACGGTTATTTTTTCCCCAAGCAAAGACTCTTCCATCTAATGTTAATGCAAGTATATGAAATGCACCACATGAAATTTTTCTGAGTCCTGTATTACTAAGCTTTGCAACTAAAACAGGTCGTACACGTTTAATAATATCTCCTGTTCCCAACTGTCCATATTCAATATCTCCCCATGTCCATAGTTCAGTTGACAAGATATTATTACCAGTACATGTTAATGTATTAATTCTTTCATTTAAGCCATGTTGAGATAATTCATGCTCTGACGAACCAGTACTTGATGACTTTGGAATTTCTTCATAGCCCAAACTAAGAGCCAAACTGGTGGAATTAGGTCTCAAACATTCTTCTCCTTGTTCCTCTAAGAGTACATTACTGTCATTTTTTAATTCTGTAATGTCTGAACTTCCACTCATATGTCTAGATAATGTAACAACTTTACCACTTCCATTTTTCACCCCTTCGTACACCAAATTAGCTACACTGGACACATTCTGTTTGATTAATCTTGTTGCTTTTTCAATATTTTCTATGGGTATGTCTTCTTTAATGCTTCCATAAGATGAAACCCAGGATAACTGCCTAATTAAAAATTGTCTTGCAGCCTCTGTGTTTATAAAAATAACATGTTTCTTTTCTTCTTTATCAGAGTCTGTAGTATCATTAGAGCATTGTTCTATATTTCCACTTATTATCGAATTTTGTTTTGTTTTAATAACTTCAGCACGTGACACAGAATCATATTCTTTACTAGTAACTGATAAAGCACTAGTTGAAGTGGTTGAATGGTATTCACTGGCTTGCTGTGCATGAAGTCCACTTTGACAAGTCCAATCTGACGATGTTAAACTTGTAGGACTTAATACTACATTATTGATACATTGAGGACATGAATTAACAAAAACTTCTTCCAATTCATTCTCATTATCAGTATCATTTTTCATAACTTTTGTTGTTTTCCTCACAGCCACTACATTAAAATTAGAACCACATGAAATAGTAGACACAGTTCTACCTTCAAAAAATTTCACTTTTTTAGGCTCTGTGCTACTGATATCTATTTCTGATTGATTTCCACTAGCCCAAAGCTGTCCACCTTCTGTTACAAACAATGCTGCCTCATCACTGACAGCCACCGATTTTACTTTAAGAATTTCATTTCCTTGTTTATATCTGTAACAATATAAATGGTTCTAGAAATTGTATTATTTTAATACGAAGCCAAAGTAAACATTAATTTAAAAATTATATAACAATTTTAAGCATACCCATGACTGCAACATTTAACTTCTTCTTTTAGAATTATTGTATCTATTATACCCATATCATCAGGATTTATTTTCAGAACATATCCATTTTTATCTACAATAAATAAATGTTCCGAATTAGATGCTACGTCAACCACTTCAAATTGAGCTTTTTTGAAAACTATTGTTGGAGGACTGTTTTCTATAAATGATACCTCCCCATGATATAAACTGTTTGTGGTAGTTGTTACAAAAATGTGATCTTCAACAGTGACCAATTTGCTAATGATACCATTAGGTTTGTCATCAAAAGTGTATGATAATTCATCAACACTTTTCCATAAATGCATATATTTTTCCATTTTACAAGACGTTTGATATACTAGTTTTCATAACCTATAAGTGTTTTATGAGACAATATTTCAGCCAACAATGTTTTTGTCATGTAATTCGTGATTGGGTTTGTTTCAATGATCTTTCCTCTAACAGTATTCGAGGAAGTTCACATATTAACATGATTAAACTAATTATTTCCTTATTACAGTAGTCTGATAACAACTGACAATTGCACGGATTTGCATGGATTACTGTGGATTACTATGTAGTTAGTCTGGTTAGTCATCTGTCGTGATTAGAGATGGCGTGAACTGCTACTTGTGAATCACTTGTGATTCGATCACGTTCGTTCTCAATCACGGTGATTTTTCACAGTAATTAGTGATTTCTCGTGATCGTTTCTGATTGGTGGAAAAACCTAACAGTTCTTTACACGCGACACATAATTTGTATATTTTATATTAGCGACATCAAAACAAAAATTCGAGTTATAACGTATAAAGTGAAGGAATAATTAGAAACAATGAAGAATAATGAATAAATTAATGGTTATAAATTATAATCTACATGTTACTTAGCAAATCATTCTTTTAGAATTTCTTGTTTTTTCTACTGATTTTTACAAACACGAATAGTAGTGTAATTCATCGTAAAATCATATTGTACGTATATCAAATTTTGCAAGTGGCGGGAGGCAATTTCCCTTCGCCACTTCTTCCCCTAATGGAAGCCGCGTTTGCTCGTGGGTTACGTGGGTATACACTTGGTCACACTTAGTACACTTTAGGCAACTTCAGGTGATCAGTGAAGCTAACCGGTGTCGCATATTTTGTAAGGAAACAGAACTGGAACACTATTTTTTAACATTTCCGAACATTGTTAAGATTTGAAATAAAGAGGTGTGTAATTTCTTACAAACGTAATTGCTAAAAATGTTCAACATGTTTCCCTATAATACGTTAAGAAGTTATAGTATAGTGATACTAAACTACTTCAAATTTTTCCGACTATCAAATGAGTGTGCATTTTTCTATTGATTAAATGTTTATTGTTTTTTTAATTTGTCAGTTATAATACGAAAATGCTCATTTTAATAAGCTAGCGGTTTCAGAAATTGTCTTATGATTAAATAGCATTCTTGTAAACAAAATCTTCCGTAACGTTTTATTAATCAGGTATTGCTTAAAACGGAATACTTTTGGATCAAACGGTTCTTGTAATGTCGGTAAACATGTGTCATTTTAAAATTATCTGTTTTTTAACAAAGAAAATTGAACGGTCTGTTGAAATTTTATAGATGGAAAATGAACTGATCCAACCAGGAGGAACTCAAGCTGACTTTATTAAAGAAGAATTAAATTTTGGTATAGATCTACATGATCCTATTACCCAAACAACGTTGAATACTCTTCCAGTTGAAGAATGGATAGATATTTTAGGAAATGGACAGCTTAAGAAAAGAGTTATAAGAAAGGGTAAACATGGAACTCGACCAACCAGATCTGACATATGTACCTTAAAAATTGTTGGTAAACTAACAGACGGTACAGTTGTCGAAGAATATGAAAATCTTAAGATTCAGTTAGGCGATGTTGAAGTAATTCAGGTATTTTTCTTGAAATGTATATCATTATAAGATAATCATAATAATTAACGTAATTGTTGATATATCCACTATATTCTTGAATAGGGATTAGATCTAGCAATAGCACTTATGGATACTGGTGAAATTGCTGAAATCGAAATAAATCCAAGATTTGCTTATGGTCATTTGGGAAAACCACCAAGTATACCACCTGCTGCTATTATTTTGTACACAGTTGAATTGATTTCTACTGAAGGGGAAAAGGAAATAGAGAAGCTCAGTGTTCATCAACGGAAAGAAATTGGGTAATCATCTCTAATCCAATGATTAAGAATGTCAAAGCAATAATTAATTATATACATTTGTTCGGTTAAAGAAACAAGAAACGGGAACGTGGAAACTGGTGGTTCACTCGTAATGAAGCAACACTTGCAATTCAGTGTTACCGAAGAGCATTAGAATTCTTATTACCAACAGAAAATCGTACTTCATATCAAAGTGAAATTGACGACTCTACCACCGATGCAGAGTTACAGGCTTTGTTGGAAGACTCTATGAAAATATATAATAATTTAGCAGCAGCACAAATGAAGACACAAGCGTATGATGCAGCATTAAAAAGTGTAGAAAGTGTTTTAAGTTGCCAGCCTCAAAACGTGAAAGCACTTTTTAGAAAAGGTATTGTTGTTACAGCTTATATTTGACATTGTTCATTACAATTTCATAATGTACAGGATGTCCGGTGGGACATTTGAGTACCTTAAATATCTCACTTATTTTTTTTCGACAGTAAAAACTGTGAAAAGAAAACATTATTTGTTTGGAAAGGGCAAATATTGTGATTTGCAAAAATTTTCTCAGGGTCATGTTTTTCGAGATTTTAAGGTCATCAATACTTCTTTAAATCCGACTAAATATTTTTATCATTGTGGTGTAATAGTTAAGGTCAGGATTAATTCAATGATCTATGATAGCACAACCTTTATGTGACTTTGAGTACGAAATATCCAGAAATGTGTGGGAATAATCTCTTGAATCTTTTGCAACCTGACTATAAATTAAAATCAACAATTTTTTCTCTTTAGGTATACACTGTCATTATTTTGCAGAAATAACACAATCTCTTTCATAGTTGCCAAATCGAATTGATTATAAGGAATTTCTAAACTAAACTGATTGTATTAAATAAAATCAGAAGCTTACTAGTGTTTACAACTTAGGTTATGGTACATGCTTAGAACTGTTTGAGATTGAGGCTATAAGAAACGTATCTGCTAATATTAGTCAAGGTTCAAATAATCATACATTTTTAAAAACATAAGGAGGATCAAAGAATCGTTTTCTTCATTTATCTTCTACAAAAATGTATCGAAGTTGAAAGGTTTCATTTTTAACATTTGTTAAAATAAATTTTCTTTTCTAATTTCTCTGTAGTGATTATTTCATTATTTACATTTATTCTCATACATTTCTGAATTTTCCCTACTGAAGGTCACATAAAGGTCATGCTATCATATACCTTTGATAACATGACAATAACCAAAATATTTAGTCCGATTTAAAGAAGTATTGATGACCTTGAAATTAAAAAAAATATAACTAAGAAAAATGTTTGCTTATAACAATATTTGCCCTTTTCAAATAAATAATGTTTTCCTTTCACAGTTTTTATTGTCATAAAAAATAAGTAAGACATTTGAGGTACTCAAGTTAGGTGGGACACCCTGTATATGAAGTCTGCCAAAAATATGAGACATCTTGGTACATGCACTTTTCAAATTGAGGCTTCGTTTCCGACATATTAGCAATTGAAAATTGGAGAACTGATTTCCAGCGCCCACAGTTTAAACCTAACAGATAGCTAGAGGTTCGGCCACACATACGCGCGCATACAGTTAAAAAACGGGGAATTATGCTTACAGCATGTGCGACTCCCTTAAGCATTTTCACTTCCACGAGTGCATAACAAACTTATTGTAAAATAATTTTGGGCACACATAATTATTAAAAAAAAAAAATTGCAGTAAACATTTATGCACATGGCAGTTTACTTAATGGTAATTTACTTACAATGTTCGAAAACGTCTTCATCATTTTGAATACACATATCAGTCCTCATTCCAGAATTGTGTACACGACCACACATCTATTCAGCTTTTATTGTACTAAATGCATGTATGTACTATCCCGTAAAGTTTTTACATTTTCCTGATTATTTGAGTAAATTTTCTCTTTCAATATCGTTATGAAAAATTCATGAAACTATCTCTCTTCGTCCCATCCGTTGATTTTCATAGATCACGTCCGAAAATGTACGCACAGATTCTAAACAATTTGTGTTGATACTTTTCGTGTAACGTGAATCTGATTCGAGTACTTACCGTTGTATTTGTATACATTGTCGCGAACGTTATTTCCAAACTCCCCGTACAGAAAGAATATATGAAACAACTCCTCAGACGTATGCATACACTTTTCTATTTCTTGTGTTCCTTTATCAGCAATCAAAAATTGTATAATAAGAGCGCTGAAAGTCAGTCCTCCAATTTTCAATTTCTAATATCTCGGAAATGAATCCTTAACTTGCAAAATGGTCACATATTTTTGGCACACTCTATATGTTAAGCAATACATTTAGTAATATAGATATATTATAACATATTTACAGGAAAAATTTTGCATTACAAGGGGGAACATGCATTGGCCTATCAAACGTTACTTCAGGCAGCAAAATTAGAACCAGAAACGAAAACTATTCAAGCAGAATTAGCTATTCTGAAAGAAAAGAACGCTAAAGATGCACAATATGAAAAAAATTTATATCGGAAAATGTTTGGAACGCGTAAAAGTAATAATGTGCCTTTAAAGAGCACAAAGAAAGAAAATAAAAATATGGCCATATCGAATGTAACATGGAGCTTAATTGGTGGAGCAACTGCAGCAATTGCAGGGTTCCTTTTATACAGATTTGTTTCGTGAAAAAAGAAGAGTAAATGGAATCTAGAAAGTAAGTGGAAGTGAAAAGTAAGACATGAGTTATGTAAATACTATAAAGTCTACTAATATATAGTTGTGCATTGTTCACTACAATTGTCCATAATAACTGTGTGTGCACAGATAAATAACCTGTAGAAAAAACTGCAGATGCTTTAATGCTATACTGTCAAATAGAAAAAACGAATATAAAGTTGACCAAATTTCATTAGAGTATATTATTTTATTGAATCTTTGTTACGTTTCGTATTCTGCAAAAGATTTTGCAATTGAGTACATTATTTATTACATTCATATTTGTGTTGTATAAAATTGTTATTCACTTTTGTAAATCAGGTATTTAGATTGTGTATACGTGGCGTTAAAAGAAAGTACATGTAGAAAAATAAGAATGTACATGTTGTGAATAATTCGTGTAAATTAGATTTCTATCAACTTTTATTTATATTATATTCTTTAGTATCAGATTCTCCATATTTTAAACTCAGAAACGTGTTTCTAAGGAAAAGTTCTTTTACCGTTATATCGCCAAATTTCTTTATATTATCATGAACAAATGAAATAATAACACTATTATATACGTTTTACTGATACTCCAATTATTAATTAACAATCATATAAGATGCGATTATTTTTATAGATTTATATCGAAAGTTTGATTATTCGAAAATGTTATTCAGTTTTGTTAGCAGAGACTGCATATATCTAACATTCCTTGGTAATGTAAATCCCAAATAAAAGTATTACTTTTGTCACCATTTTGCAACTGTAAGCAAGGTATTTTTTCCCCTATACATTATGTAAATGTATATATAATTTAATAACGATAAGTGTAAATAAACCATGAAAGAAATTACATGTAGTCACTGTAGGTTTCTAAATGTATATTAAATTTTGATACAAACTAACTATTATAAAGTATATGACATTTTTCTGTTGATCTATTCAAAATTATTAATTAGATTTACAATCACTTGGCTAGTTTCAAGTATTCTTTACGTGATACTTGTGTGCAATGTATGTAATTTCAAGTGAGCATATTTACAAGAATGTGTAAACAAAAATAAGGATTAGAGCGTTTCATAAAATATTTTCTTCAATTTGATTAAAGATTAAAAAACGATGGAAATGGTTGATTCAAGTAATTGTCTATTGGTATTGTGTCTACTTTGTTTATGTTCGAATCTACAAAAAGTGATACTCCTTCGACAGTTCCTACAGAAAATTCAGAACAATTAGAATGTTCATAAAAATGTTGATCCATGTTTAAAATACTATGCTGAAACTCTAAATCTTGATAGCTGTTAAGATTCAATATTTCATTAGGATTCGTTTCAAATTGTTCTATGAGATCATTCGTTAAAGTCTTGGGGTTGGTAACCTCTACCGTGACAATTTGTTCCGCACTAGTATCCACTAATGAAAGAATTTGAGAAACAGAATCTGCAGTGGGTAGAAAGTTAATGAGTTCTAATGATAATGTTGGGTTTTCATAGAAATTATTAGAATTAGTCAATGATTGTGATTCAAATTTTGAATTGGTACGTTCATGAGCGTTATTCGTGTTATCAGAAAACAATATTTTCTCATTTGATGCCAAAACTTCATCAGTTCCTCCCTTAATTTTGAATTTTTTAAGTTTAAGTTTCCTCGGAGTTTCTGGTACTGGAACAAGATGACCATCTTCTGTCTTCATGAGTTTTAGAACCTGTTGAATGTTATGTAAATGTATATTTCTGTTAATATTATAAAAGTACTTAATAATGTGGACACTGAATTCACCTTTTTCTTTTTTTCAAGCTTAATACTGTGACAAGTTTCCATATGACGGGTAAGGTGATGCGATCTCTTGAAAGCAGTATTACATTGTATACAGGCAAACGGTCGATATTGTTGATGAGATAATTTGTGTCTTTTTAATAAACTGTTTCTTTTGAATGTTTTACCACATTCTTCGCATATAAATTGCCTCTCTTTATTATGCATGTAAAGAACATGATCGTTAAGAATACTAACACTGGTGAAAGTTTTTCCACACTGTTCACACACAATGTTTCTCTGCTCTATGTGTAATTGTTTGTGTCTGCACAAATCTGATTTTCTCGAGCATTGAAATGTGCAACTGTACATATCACAGGTAAACCTTTTTTCTCTTTTATGTACACGTCTAATGTGTTGATCAAGTGCTCTTTGCGAAATTAATTTCTTTGAACAAACTGAGCAATTAAAGATGTTCTTTATGGATATCTCTTTGCTCACTTTACTGAGATGCAAAGTAGATTCCAAATGACGAGAATAATCATCCTTCTTAAGAAATGTACGTCTACAGTCAGGACAGAAGTAAATACCTATAACACAAATGATTTGTTATGAATATCTTTTATGTATTTTACTCAGAAATTTCAAGAACTCACCATTATTTGACAGATTATTATGATTTAATTTTGACGAATGTACTGTTTTGTAATGTTCATGTACCTTCTTTTTAGATGTGAAAGTAACGTTGCACTTGGAACATTTGTGATTATCGTGATTCTGAATATGGATTAGGTATGTTTGTTCCATACAAAATGTTTGTAAGCATCTCATGCACTTAAATTGTTTTTTGATACAATGATGTTCCCTATCATCTTCATCCGCTTTCAACATTTCTCCACAATCACTACAAACCTTGCCGTTTTCATAATTATGCTTTGCTCGATGATGATTCAATAGAGCACGTTTAGGAAAATTGCGAGGACATAAGTCGCAAGAATGAGAATATTTTGTTGCTCTTTCCCCATGTGAATGAAACGAATGTATTTCAAGGTGTTTACGCCTAGCAAATTTTGCATTACAATGAGAACAATTGTTTTTCTCATGACCTTTCAAATGCCGATCCAAATGCCTTTTGTATCTAAATGTCATTGAACATTGGCTGCATGATTTAATTTGTTTACTTAATATATCTAGTCCACTGATTGTAATTTCGTTTGGACCAGTCAATGTTACAAATTTAGTTTTACGATCATTATTCTCATCATTTAAAGTATTATTGTTTCTTCCTTGATTGTGAGGTTTATCTTTAATCTGTGGAAAAATATTCTTTTCCATTATAAAAGATTTTTTTATTTTAATTGACGTGTTTCGATTTTTCAAATCTATTAAACTATATACATAATTGTATTACTATTTAAGGTTAGTAGTAACTGTATATCACCGATCCAAATACATTTTCTAACAAATGGAATAACCGAATTTATAGTTGCGTTATCCATTTTCACATGATTTTCCATAGAAAAATATGTAACTTTGTCAAAATTAGTCTGCACTATGTATTTAAATAACTCTTGCAAGTGCTATTCGGGTTTGCTAATTTTGATTCAGCTTTTGAATTATTCATAGAGCAGAAGAGAATTTGTTTTTGAATCTTTACTTTTGGGACTATTTACACATTTTTACAAATCATCAAGGGTTACGAGTTTGTTAATTGCAGAGAATGCATTAAGTGCCTGCTGCAGTACTGATTCATCCTGATGGAAAAAATGTTAACTTACTACTTAAGTTAAAAATATTGAATACAAACGATTCAAATATAAATTGCTACTATTACGAATACTATTTAGCTCACACGTTTCTATTTATATGATACTGAAACTTTTTCTTAACTCTTACCCGACTGTCAAATAGTTGATAGGACAGTATTTTGTACTACTGACTTCTATTATGTGACATTGTTTAAGATATTTTGAATGAATCATACACAATAATTTATATAATAATTATAGTAGGGCTATAGAATAAATATCTTTATGTCTTTTATGAAATAGTTGCGCTTAAGGTCCGTGTTCACGTGACAGTAAATCGTGACTTTTACTGTCATGCCTGTCATGACTGTCATGACACTAGATGCAGTGACTACAGATTCTGATATAATAAGACTACGGATGCCATTGTTATCGATGGGTCATGGATTTTGGGTGTCTCAGGAACCTAGAGTAAAGTTAAGTCTCTATCACCAGGGGCTGATGGGAAGATTTGGAACAATTTGGACTGTGGCGTCAGTGAAGCTTCCATAGACATGTATAATAGACTGCGCGGTCTTATGGTAGGGATGAGGTTGGCAGTAGACTGAGAGGATAATATATCGAGTAACAGACTTCTCTTTCTAATGGGGCCGTTGGTGGGGGATTCTCCTAAGGCTGCGTAGAGGCATTGCATGCGTGCAGTATTCCTTTGCACCTCACTCGACGCGTGGGTCCGCCGGTAAATGCGAGAAGCACCCGGCAGAGGTCTTCGTCGCGCCGTGTTTCTCACAAGTACTCGTTCCTAACTCCGTTCATATAAATACAAATTCAAAAAAATCATCCTCTCTCCCGCGTGTTTAGGGCAGGTCCCACCAGCTGCATCCTCGCTGATGAGTCTGGCTGGTGGCACCGAGACCGAAACGCATCTCACTTTTTCGTCCTCCTATTCGTTCCTCTCCTTTATTTCCCCGGCCTGCTCCACACACCCTGATGCCTTAGGGCGGGAGTAGGAGCAAGGACCCAAAATAACGTCAACCGGGATAACATGGCCCACAGGACGTGTTGCCTCCACACAGCCGTAAGAGAATCCCCTACCAACAGCCCCATTAGAAAGAGAAGTCTGTGACTCCATGTCACTGAGATCTGTATGTATGGATACGGGATGGGGTATATTGGGTTGCTGCTGTAGTGTTGAGGGACGCTAGAGATATTGCGTCCCAGCTACCGTAGAAAGGAGGTTACTGAATGATGGCCTGTGTTAGGTCTGGGCTAGCGATCCCGGGATCCCTGTGGACCGGGGAATAGAGAATACGGCCACGGTAATCCCTGCCTGTCGTAAGAGGCGACTAAAAGGGAGAGGTGGAGACCGCGGGACTGTGGCACCCGCGGTCCAA